AAAGGAGTACTTGATAAAATGGTGCTCATTCTCACTCTCCCCTCACTTCCTATTTATTTATAGTACCAGAGATTGAACCCAAGGCCTTCCTTTACACCAAAACACATCCCCAAGTCCTTTTTATTTTCTACTTAAAGACAAGGTCTCAGTGAATTGTTAAACTGCCCAGGCTGGGTTCAAATTTGCAATCCTCTTGCCTCAGGCTCCCAGAGTGCTGGGATTACAGGCATGTGCCACCACACCAGACATCTTTATCTTCATCTCACTTCCACTGTCCCTCTGCAGCTACTTAATACATCTTTAAAGAGGCAGAAGTAAATAAGACTTACCCTCCTCCCCTCGAGGGGGTACACTGTAATCCCAGCACTTAGGAGGCTGAGGCAGTAGGATCAAAAATTTTGAGTCCCAGTTTGGACAATTTAGCAAGACTGTCTCAAAATATATAATAACAACAATAAGGGCAGGGGATATAGTTTAGTGGTAGGTGGCCTGGATTCAATCCTCAGTACTACATCCCTACACACACATACCAAAACAACAACAAACTAGCCCTGGCCAGCAATCAAGTAGGGAAACAAACATACAAAGTCAGGATACCATAATAAATGTGAAAGGTTGGCAAGATAGCTCTGTGGAGGCAAGAGCAAAGACCTTAGGCAAGCACAGGGACCAGATTCCATCCCCTGGCACCACATGCCATGCTGGTCCCGCGCCCTAATCCCAGAGCTGGGAAGGTTGAAAACAGGAGGATCACTACAAGCCTGAGCTACGTAGTGTGATCCTGTACCAAATACATTAAAAAAAAAAAAAAAAAAAGAGCTCAACAATAAATGTGCAAAGATATGACAGAAATCCTATTTGAAAAGTCAAGCATATGCAGACTAATTCTGTCTATGGGAGCAAAAAAGAAGACTCAATGGTCAGATAACCTGGATATTGAAACATAAGGAAGAATTGGCAGCACAAAGGCAAGAAAGAAGGGTTTCCGGGAAGAAACACAGGTATTTCTCTCAGGTGGCTCCTCCATCTGCACAGTGCTAATGGCAGGCCCTGAACAAGTATGTGTTAGTTGACTGACACCTCCTGTGGGAGGCTGTTGTATTAGGCCTGTGAGGCTTAACACTGCTGCTTAGAGGCACGTGGGTGAGAGAAAAGAAGATGTTCTTGTGTTTTCCCTACCAGTGTGTGAAGCTCCACCCCCACACTTGAAGGTATCAACCCCAGCCCTCACAAGGGCGTGCCTTCTCTCAGCCTGGCCACAAGGGAGCAGCAAAGCATTAGAAGTGGCTGCCGGTCAGGGGCCATAAACCAGAGATCCAGGCAGCCCTAGGATCCAGCACACAAAACGTAACCCTCCTTTTCCCCAAGTCTGGAAGGAAAAAAGTTTCAGACACTTGGAGGAGACTTGGTTTGTCTTAGAAAAAGAACAAGAATCCCCTAAACATTTGTTTTTGTGGTGCTGGGGATTAAATCTCTAAAGATTTCTACATAAATTGATTTAAATATTTTTTCCTCTGAATTGAAAGTGTATGTCTAATGAGTTTTTTGTTTTTTGCTGAACCGGGGATTAGAACTCAGGCCCCTGCGCTTGCCAGGCAAGCACCTATTCCACTGAGCCATCTCCCCAGCTCTTAATAAGTATTTTTTACTTGACATAGTTTTTACCATGACCTAGGTACTATTCAGTGTTTTATGAGTATTCATTACTAATTCCTCAAAACCCTATAAATTTAACCATACCTATATCACAGATGAAAAACCTATAGCAAGTGGCAGAGTAGCTTTTACTCCAGTTTGGGTGTCCTCATCATAGTCAGTAGTTCCAGCCACTGTTTTGAAAAAAGTGTTTTTTCACCATTTTGAAAAAAATGGAAAAGTATACAATCTAGCCTGAGAAATCAGGAGTCCTTTAAACTCTAGCTCTATCACTAATTAGCTATGCTGGCTTAAGTCCTGTCACTTTACCCCTGACTTGTGTCTTTGAAAATTAAATACCCGGGTTAAACTGCACTTTTGTCCACCTAATGAGGTCTATGCTCTATGGACTGCATAGGGAAGCCAGCTCCCTTCAGGGATTTTACAGTGTGGAAGGAGCAACCCTAAATCAGCACTTACACAATAAAGGTCAGCAGGGTTCTGTGGGAAGCTGGAAGGAGAGGCCCCTCCCTGCCAGGGGCCCTCTCAACCCCTAGCAGGTGTAGAATTTGGGTTGGAGGTGTTAAGACAGGATTCCTGGAGTAATTAGAGGAAAGGCATGAATTAGCCAGGGGGAAGAGGTGGAGCATCAGAAACAACAAAGACAGGATGTGAAAACACAAAATGAGTAAAGAAGTGGCCAGGGAGATGGCTCAATAGAATAAGCACTTCCATGACAAGCGCAGGAGTGAGTTCAATCCCCAGTTATTCATTCCTCAATTAAAAAAAATAAAATTAAAAGAGTAAAGAAAAGAAGAACTCCAAGAATTTAGGGAAGGGGATGGGGAGATGGCTCAGTGGAATAAGCAATTTCCTGGCAAGCACAAGGGCCTG